ATTTGTGGACAAGTTTTAATTTTCTGGCTGATGTCTTGAGAAGTTAGTTCAGTATTTCTACATAATGTTCTTTCTTCATGATACTGTCTATGCTGTGAAGTGGACCAGTCCCTCCTGCAGCAAAACAGCCCCACAACATGATGCTGCCACCCCCATACTTCACAGTTGGGATGGTGTTCCTAAGCTTCTAAGCTTTCCCTCTTTGTCCTCCAAATGTAACACTGGTCATTACGGCCAAACAATTCAATCTGAGTTCCATCAGACCGCAGGACATGTCTCCAATAATTAGTCTTTTTCCCAGTGTAATTTAGCAAATTGTAATCTGGCTTTTTTTGTTGATTTTGGCTTGTTGATTTTCCCATGTTGTCACACAAGTAAGCAGTGTGTTTTAGGGTTTTCCTTAAATACTATTCTACAGTTGTGCCTCCAATTAACTCAAATGTTGTCAATTAGCCAATCAGAAACTTCCAAAACCTTGACACCATCATCTGAGCTTTTTCAGAGGCAGAATAATCTTATTGTACGTTAACTTGACTCTCAAGAAAAGTGATAACAATTTCTCAAATATATCTCTCTCATTATTCTGTGATGAAGCATAACAGAAACAAATTTGACAATCCTAATTTACCTAAAAGAGAAAAAGTTTAGTCACATTAACACCTGACTTATTTTAAATGGTTACATGCCTTTTTATACAGTGTATGTAAACTTCTGGTTTCACTGTATGTGGTTGTTGTTGTTGTTGTTGTTGTTTTCAGGATTCTCCCAAAGAGAATTCTAAATATAGTTTCTTGTTTTCGAGCTTGACAAAGGGAATACCTGATCTTACTGACCCTACTGAACACACACACACACTCACAAAGGAAACACAGAGGCATCAGACATGCAGGTTTACACAGGTGCTACAAACAAATGACTTAGACAAATGAGTCAGTCCTCAACAAGGTGGTTTTTAGTAGTATCTTCACTACACAACCTAAGCACATTGATATAAACATTGCAGACAATTCCATGCATTGGGAAAATTTTAAATGCTTAATTATTATAGTTGGTAAAAATTTCTGAATCTATGCGCATCTCCTCTTTTAATTATATGAGCAACTGATGAATAAAAATGTGGATGAATATGTAGTTACAGTATACAGGCTGAATACACAGCAGGAAAAAAGGGTAAATCTGATGTGTTCTTGTGAATGAATATCTCTGATTTCAGGAGTCAACGCAGGTGAGCATGTCCTCACCCTTGCCAGCTTTTTTGGAAAGCAAATTCTCCTGGCCGTGTGTGAGTCATTATGCATGCAAATCCGCCAGAGGATTTTCCATCGCTTCTAGAGATTTACATGCCCAGTGACAGACTGAGAGCATATTAAAGGAGAGCTCAGAGAGGAACGAGCACAAATCGTTCTTTTTGCGATGATATTCACGTTACGGTGCTTCATTTACAGGCCGAAAAGGAAAAGGAGTTCAAGAAAAATGCTAAAACTTCATCTAACATTCAAATCTAGCATTTTCAGTCCAACAATAAACTGTGGTAGGATGTTTAAATACCACCTTTCCACTTGACACCTGAGACGGTCTTTCCTCATTTCTAAAAAAAGGATTCTGGACTAACTCCTGATCCCACATTATTCCAAATCACAGCTCACTAGTAAACTACACTGTTCTTGGAAAGTTCATAACAACATTTCGATCAGACATTTTACAGAAGTGCGTAAACAAGTGCATTAATTGTAACTCTGTTACCTTAAGATTCTATTATTCATTCATTCATTCATTTTCCTTCAGCTTAGTCCCTTATTTATCAGGGGTCGCCACAGCAGAATGAACCGCCAACTTTTCCAGTATATGTTTTACATAGCGCATGCAACCCAGTGCTGTAAAACACCTATACAATTATTATTATTATTATTATTACTTTATTATTATTATTATTATTATTACTATTATTATTATAACTTCATTATCATTATTATTATTATTACTATTACTATTATTATTACTTTTATTATCATTATTATTACTATTATTATTATTATTATTATTATTATTATTATCATTAATATTATTATTATAACTTCATTATCATTATTATTATTATTATTATTATTATTATTAATGTATTATTATTATTATTATTATTATTATTATTACTATTATTATTATTATTATAAATATTAATATTAATAAAATGTTTAAAACATTAATAACTAATATTAATAATTATTATTATTCATTTTCTTTTTGACTTAGAACCTTTATTAATCTGGGGTCTCCACAGTGGAATGAACCGCCTCATCCTCTTTTAAACCAAACTCATCCAGCATATGTTTTACGCAGCAGATGCCGTTCCAGCTGCAACCCATCTCTGGGAAACATCCATACAAACTCATTCACACTCGTACACTACGGACAATTTAGCCTACACAATTTCACCTTTACCGCATGTCTTTGGACTGTGGGGGAAACCGGAGCACCCGGAGGACACACACACAAATGCGGGGAATACATGCAAACTCCACAAAGAAATGCCAACAGACCCAGACGAGGCTCGTACAAAAAAGCTCATTTTAAATAAGTTGTTTGAAAAAACAGCTAACGTAATATTTTGAGTGTGGAATGTTGATCAACAAAAGTGTGGTGATATTAATATTAATAACCTATTATATTAATAACCTATATATTTACTCTTATTTATGTGAACTTAAAAAGCACCTCCCATGAAACCAGTTACGAATCATAGTATAGCATGAGTTCAGAGTTCAGCTTTAGCATCATTTGCTTATGGAACCTCTAATTCTGTTGTTTTCTATGAAATGCACAGCCTTTCAGAAATATAATCAAGCATCTAAACACAATACTGTATGTTATATGATAGATGAGATATTGCGCCTTGAGTTTTGTAGCTTTGATTACTTGAAATGATGGAATACACCAGGAATACACCATTCCGGCACAATGGAAAGGATTAGATCATAAATAGTAGGCAAATACTTCAATTTAGGTCTACGTGAACCGCACTCCATTTGGTTATGGCAGGATTTCCATTCAACGATTTCAATATTGTGGATATATGTGGTGATGAGCTATGGAGACCCACCTGGAGCATCACACAGGCAGGTGTTGCTGTGGGACTGGTTGAGAAGTGGGCAAGTTCAAACTAGCATGCCCTGTAGAAGCACTTGTGGGGAATTTGAGAAACACACAATGGTACAACCTTACATTACAATTAGACACACCAGAACAAGCCAGCTTAAGACTCACCAGAAACTTCTAGATAAGTGTGCAGGTTGTTGGTCCTCCACGAGTAGAAATGGACATTTCTGCATATTAGACATACAGTAAAATTTTGCTGATATTTGATGAATAAATTAATAGTAATGTATAATTTTCTATGAATAAATTCACTGCTAAATTACTGCTACTACAATTAATACTACTACTACTACTACTAATAATAATAATAATAATAATAATAATAACTATTATTGTGATCATCAGTATAAATATTAATAAATTAATATTAATAATTATAATTATAATAACAATACTAATAGTAATAATAATTATTATTTTTGCTATTATTATTGATATTATAATAATAAGAATAATAATTATTATTATTGTTGTTATTAATAATATTGAAAAAAATATTTTAAACATTAATAATTAATAATAATAATAGTAATAATAATAAAAATTAACAATAATAATTAATTAATTTATCTTAATTAAATTAAAATGTATTATATTAAAATACATATTGCCTCTGAATAATTTTTGAAATACTGTTTAATATTTATATTAAATGTAATATTTATTTTAGAATGTTTTCAAAAAATTAACAAATATCATAACTAGAAACTATATATTTTTAATAATTATTTAAATATAATATAATATTATATAACATTATTATAATAATTATTATTATTAGTAGTAGTGGTAGTAGTACTATTATTGGTATTGTTATTATTAAATGTATTATTCTTATTAAATTAGTCAAAAAAATATATTTAAAAAAAAAATATATATATATATAAAGCAGAAAATATAGTAAACGTTTAATAAAAATTTACTCGATTCCTTTAAAAAGGCAGATTTATTCATGAACCTGCTTTTTGAATGATTTAAGTGAGTCAGTAATCTAGTGAGCTAGATTAATATTCTTTATTCCTGAATGAATCAACTATTTTGAATAAATCGATTGAATGAATAACTTTATCCTGCATTTCCTTATGTAAAAATATTGGTTTATTGGTTCAAATCATGCTAGAAATGTATTTCATGATTTTTTATTTTTTTTTTACTACTTTTCAGTTCTGATGCTTAATCAGTGCTCAGATTATTCATTAATGCATCACACTATGGAGGACTTACAGTATGACAAACTTACTGTCTTGCAGTGAAAATTTACCCAAAGAAATATATAGCAATAAATATATAGTAAACACTTACTAAAAATGACTCATGCAGATTCATTCATAAGCCTGCCTTTTTGAATTAATCGAGTGAGTCAGTAATCTAGTGAGCTCCTCATAAAGTCATATAATGTTCTTAAAATTACAGGGTTCTATAAATCATGCTAGAAATGTGTTTCATTATTATATTTTTTGTACTATTTTTACAGTTTTTGGTTCTGATGCTTGGAAAATACTATTGAATCAGTGCTTAGATTAATCAGTAATGCATTGCATTATAGAGGACTTACAGTATACAAACTATAATTGTCTTGTAATGAAAATTCACTCAGAAAATGCAAATAAATTTTCCCTCAAGTCATCCTAAGCAGGTATAATATGAAAAATGTTGAAGCTGCACTTTGACGGGATGCATCAAAACATGCTGTTTTCCTACAAGCGTCACTATCTGTCTTGAATTCAACCGCAAAGTAAAGCGAAGTGACTTTTCCCTTGTCCATCAGCTCTGCGGTGAAGATGTTTTCTAGATGACCTGCGAGCCTGAAGAGATGACCCTGCCCAGAGCTTTGCATGCTGATTTCCATGTGTTCCATTCATGCCAGTAAACGTGTTCGGACCCTCCAGAGCCATAAAGAGCCACCGAGTGAAGCAGAGACTCATGCCGAAGACACTGCTGACAGAGATGGCCATAAAGTGAGTCCTGCATTCATAACTGCTTCATCACACGCTTATTTATTTTTTATTAATTTTATTAATATGATCATTTACTGGTCAGGAGGTTCTAAGGTTTTAAGATAGGAATATTATTGGCACAGTATAGCATATTCGCTGTAAAAAAAACAAACATTGATCTTAAATTTTAAGTTGACTCAACTTTAAATTTTTTGTTAGCAGTGCATATTTGAAATCAGCTTGACCTGTAAAGGATCTCCATGTAATTTTCAAGGGTAGATTTTGTTGCTTTTCTCAGGAGCCTGTGGACGATGTGGACTCCTGGGGTGAGTCCATCGAGAAGCTGCTGTCCTGTAAAGGTGAGAGAAGAAAATCCCTTCTCAATGCTGTGATCCATTAAGCAGAAATAATTTTAAAATATTAAATATTTTTTGTTTATTCATAAGCATAACTGTGTTGTGAATCAACACAAAAAAATAAATTGATTACGGTGATCATTTAAAAAATATTTTATAAAAATTTGTAGATAATTTTCTTATTTAATTTGTATTATATTATTGTTCAAATATAATTATTATAACAATTATTATGATAATTATTATTAATCATTTATTGTATAAATATCTGAAAAATATATTTTAGCAATGAAAAGTGATCAGATTTGAGTCTAACAATTATTCTAAAATAAGCAAATAAATAATATTATTATTATTATACATTTAAATAGTAAATTAATAATTATATAACAAATAGATATTATTTGGTATATTCTAATTATATTATATAGATGTAACAATTATAATATAATAAATAAATTATATATATATATATATATATTTTTTTACTATTAACATATAATAAAATTAAAACACTGAAATTTTTAATAATAATAGTGTTAGATATAATTAACATTATATGTATGTAAGTAATATAATAGTATAAATTAAATAAATAATAATATTATATATATATATAATGATATATCATTTACATTATAATTTATATAACATTTATACGTTTTTGGGATTATTAATAGTTATTATTAGTATTAGTAGCTATTATTATACAAAGTTATTATGATATAAAGTGATGAAATTTGTATTATTCACAAAAACAGCTCATGATACATCTGCTTTAGCACATATTTATTTGAAATATTGAATACATTTTTATGCAGGTAATAGGAAATATACAGCATTTAGATAATAATTTGTAGATTAGTAAATAATATTGTCTGCACCGAAAGCATAAGAACATACTTGTGGATTATTTCTCAGTCGATTTGTTGGTTGGCAGAATGCAAATACTGAGAAAATAAGCATAAGGCTTGCCTGCTGACTGTAAACACTTTAGTCAGAGTATTTGCCTAAAGTCAATGAGCCAATGTTATGGCTATACATCTTAGTCTAAATCTACACTGTGAAACCCAAAAGGTTAAGGTACTGTAACTCAAAACATTTGAGGAAACCAATTGCAACAAACCATTTAAGCTCAAAAACTAATCCCGAAGAGTATGAACTTAATCCATTTGAGTAAACGAAGCAATTTGATCAAAGTAATACTCAATAAATGAAGAGAACTAAACCAACTGAGTACTTTAAAACCTAATAAGTTAAGACAACGCAAACCGATTGCTACAACCATTTAAGTTAAAAAAAAACAATCTATATGAGTACTGTGAACTTACTTCATTTAAGTTGAAGTAATGAGGTATTTAATTGACTCACTACCTTCAACATTGAGTTCAAAACTCTTTTCAAATGAGTAGGATTAACTAAACTCATTTCATTTGATAGAGCTTACTGTTGAGTTTTACAGTGTATTATAAAGGCACATCAGATATTTGTATCAACTCTTTATGGAAGAATTAATTTTACCCACTTTAATTAAACTCAAATATAAATATCCATCAATGAAGATAGAATGAATATTAATATTAAAGTAGAATGAATATTAACTGTGGTGATAAGCTGCAATAATGGTGTCTTGTTGCAGCGGGACAGGCGGCTTTCCAGGACTTCCTGAAGTCGGAATACAGTGAGGAAAATATTCTGTTCTGGCTGGCATGTGAGGAATATAAAAAGGTGACGAATGAGCCGGAGATGATCAGCATGGCCAATCAGATCTACACTGAGTTTGTGCAGACGGAAGCACCCAGACAGGTGAATAACACTCTCTGAATGAACCAACTGTGAGGAAATCAATCAGATCCCACTGCTAAATGTTCATTTGGAGTACTGAGAGCTGTATACGGCAGTGCTGATATACAGACATGTCGCAGACCTACCAGTGTTATATTGCATTTATACAACTGTTTGATGGCACATGCGTGCAAGCAAATAATGGGTCTCTCCAACTATTCAACTAACTGTTTGATTTAGTGGCTAATTTGTATGAATTTGTACGATCTAATTGGTACAATTTAGTACGATTTGCTTACCGTATTTTCTTATAAGGCATTCTTTTAATATGTATATTTTTATCATTATTAGAATCAAGATTACTTAAAAAAAAAACGAAAACTAGGACTAAAGCAAGTATTAAACTCTGCAGCACTTTTAAAAACAAAAGTTTAAATTTTATTATTTCATTATTAGTTATAATGTTTTTATAACAATCAATACATTGGTTTAAACACTTAAATTTATAATTATGAAAAACAAAAAACAGGCATAACAGAATTCATTCTAGAAAATAAAGATTCCAGAATATTCTCAAATATATGATCCTGGGATTTATCACAGGATTGTTCGATTTTGGTCAATAAATCTTTTTTGTTAATTGGAATTTTTTATTAAATTTTTTTTAGACAAAATCACATTAAATACTAAAACTTAATACTGAAACGAACAAAAGTCACCAATAAACTAGCTAAAAATTAAATAATAATTAGTGAAAATAATTATTATTTAAATGATTATTAAACACTTATTAAATAAACATAAATAATAAATTTAAATAATAGCTGTAGATTCACATTTACAGTCAAACACATAAATAAAGCGTATGATTATATACAAACACATCTTTTCTATATAAACATAAAGCATGTCTTCTAACTTTTCTTCAGCTGCAAAAAAAAAAAACTAGGCATGTTTAATTATGAAGACATTTGTCTGAATTTTCAACGCTATCTCAAGGCAATTCGTAACTTATTTTTATTTAGTGGCTATTTCGTATGAATTTGTATGATCTCATTCGTTTCACCATATGAAGCAAAAGAAAAGGACCAACCCGGGTTCATTGTGGAAACGTAGCCCCGCGGACGTTTCTGCGGACCGCGATTTACGTCCCGGGAGGTACGTATTCGAGCGGTTTTTGTTTTCGCGGATCCGCGAGAGGCCGCTGTGCGCGACTCGGCCACCCTCCTCTTCCTCCTCCTCCTCCTCCTTCCCTAAACCCGAGTGACGGTTCGCAAAAGCCGTCCAGAAAAAAAAAAAAAAGTAAAAGCCCTCGTCTTCGATTTCGACCGCGTTTTCGGATCCCACCGCATTCTCGCCCTTATTTTTCGGATTCCGTTTTTCGTCTTACCTGATTTCCGGAACCGCTGTTCCCCGGACTCGATCCTGGTCGTCGTCCCCGCGGCCGGCTCCTCCTCCTCCTCCGGGGCCTCCGCTCTGCCGACGCAACGCTGTGAGCTAAGCGGACAAACTGGTTGCATCAGGAAAGCCCTCCACTCGGAGGCGAGCCGTCGGCCGGCGAGCGCGAAGAGGAGGGGCGGAGGGCACCACACCGCCCCGCAGCGTTCGCTCGAAAAAAACTAAACGTGGCCTTACGTACCTCCGGCCACGTAAATCGCGGTCTCCAGAAACGTCCGCGGGGCTATGTTTCCAGAATGAGCTTGGGTTGAAAAGGACAAGTGTTTGGATACAACTTTTTTTACCACACTTCCTTATTAATGTTAATTTACTCGTTTGCTAAAAATAAAAAATAAATTAAGAAATAGTTTCGAAACAAATCTTTGCGCTTAACAAACTAAATTAAATTTGTAAGCTAATAGATGTCTTCAGTGGAGAGCGTACAACACAGTTTCCTTACTCCACGAAAGTAAAGGCGTAAAGAGTAAAAGTAAAGAGGTCTAATGGAGGAGACTCAGGGCCTACTCACACTATGCTATCCGAGCCGTGCCCAGGCCCGTTTCCTGGATCGTTTGAGAAGTGTGAGTGTTCTGAGTCGGGCTCAGACACGGTTAAGTTGGCCGGCCCTGGCCCGGTTGGAAGAGGTGTGCCAGAGCGCGGTTCACTTGGGCTTTGGAGCGCAATAGTGTGAAATGTGCCAGAGCCCGAAACTGTTAGCGAGATGTGACTTTTAAGGGGCTGTTTTCATATGGATTAATTAATCATTCTTACTGTTTAATAAACGCAAACTGCCGTAGATTATTAAAGACGCAAACCCCTCACTGCATGACAGCTGCGCACCTTCAGCAAACCTCCTAATTCCTATCCGAGGGCTTTATGATTGCTTAGTGGCGGATCTGTTCGGCGAAATCTGACCAAGAAATCTCCACTGTGCTGAGCGAAAGCGCTTACTGATCAGAGCATCATCAATGACGTAAGCGTGCCCAGGGCCAAATGTAATGCGAGTTAGGGCCGTCGGGGGAAACGGGAGAGGGGACAAGCATGCTTTGGCCCAGTTCAAGGCAACTGTACATAGTGTAAGCCCTCATTCTTTATCCTCGTGGTGTAGATGGTTTAACTGTTTTCTCGCTGGTAAAGCGTTCAGTTTTTCCACTTACAGAGTCCACCATGTAAACAGCAAATGCATCATGGCGCGACACAACTGACTCTTAAAGGGAATGGGAGATGAGACTCTGAATGATTATTGCATGTTATGCTCAAAACACACCCATAACTCATTAAGAGAATAAGCTCAACCCTGTTAGACCATGATAAAAGCTTATAAAACAGCAAAAATTCTGCCGTGTACACACACTTTTACTCTTTCAAATTTGGACATTAACAAGCATTACCCCTATAAATATCAACAAAAGTTTTCTGTTTACACAATATTTTAAAAAAGGATTAGCAATTACGTATCTGTAAAAGATTATGTGTATGCAGAGTTAGCCGTATCTTTAAGATGCGTGAGATGGTGCTGCTTAACATTACAACCAAAAGCAGAGACGCTTCTCACACATATGGCATATTCTACGTACAAATCATTTTCATTGATGCGTAAACATAGCCTAAGTCACACATCTTATAGCATTAAGCATTAGTTTGAATGTTCGTTATGAAAATGAAGGGTAGAATTCCCATGTTAAAGTAGGAAAGAGTAATAAATCCATACGAAAGTGTCCCTTAAATGTGATTGTGCGGCTTGAGTTTTGCGCTTGGGTTCACTTTGCACTCACACTACAAGCAACATGAAACACTCAAACTAGTATCAAGAGTTCACACTTAGCTGATGATTGATTATGAAGCTTGTTTGGCATGCTGTCCCGGGAGAGAGCCCTGAGCTCATAAGTTTCTCGAGCTCGGGGCTCCCTCCCTCCGAGAGGGGAGTTTGAGCTGAGGTAGATCTCGAGACCTCAGATAGAGATTGCTCTTAAGAGATAACTATTTACTAGGAGCATGTCTATGGTGCTGATTTAGATTAGTCAATTAACTTCAGTTGCATGTTTTTTGATGGTGGGAGGAAACAGGAGAATCCGCAGGAAACCCATGTGAGCATGGGGAGAACGTGTAAACTCAGCACAGAAATGTAGGCTGGCTTAGTAAGGAATAGAACCAGTGACGGTCTTGCTGTGAGGCAACAGTGATAACCACTAGGCCACTGTGCCACCCATCGAGGATAGGAGGAGAAGTAGGGTGGAAGGGGGGATTCTTCAAAATGAATATAGCTGTTATATGGAACTCAGGGTATTTATATCGTCTGATTGGTGAAGCATAGATTGAATAATGCGGGACCGGCTGCAAGCAATCATAACCACGTGATCCTTTCGAAATTAGTTTAGAAATAAACTTCACTAAGTGAACCGGGATATGGGGTCAAATGCACTCGGACACGGTTTGGATAGCCTAGTACACCCTGAGACAAAAACAATTAGACAATACAATTAGACATACACAAAACAAATTATGTGTCATGTTTAACCACTACACAGACATACACCAGATTCCAAAATAAATGTCTGTGGTAAGGCTGCTCTCAGTGCCAAAATCATCATTCTATGTGTTGTCCTCATAAATAAACCACATATTTGAAGTCTAAACAGTCGCATTCAGATAAATACATACATATTAGTCAGTTCTTTTTTATTAAAATGTTTATTTTTATAAGGGAAATCACTAAATCAGTAATGTATTCCACTTATTTTCAGGTTAACATCGATTCTGGGACTCGCACAAATATAACAAACAGCATCTCGGAGCCAACACGAAGCTCATTTGACACAGCACAGAAGATGATCTTCAGTCTAATGACCAGAGACTGCTATCCCAGGTTTCTGAAGTCCGACATCTACCAGTCCATCCTGCAAAAGCATGGAAAGAGATGACTTCATAACTAGTGGCGTATCCAGAGTACCAGTTGCCATAAACATGTTTTTTTTTAATCTTGTTTTATATTTGGTAAGCATAATAAGTTTAGCTTTGGACTTTTAATATTGTTATTTGTGAAGGAAAACACTCATTTCAGTGTCACTCTATAGGATGCAGTCTGATTTTCATGTTCAGTTGCCCATTGATTGATTTTTCCTCTTCACAGAAAATCAAACCAATTAATCACGTCTCATTTTAAACCATAACAGAAAATTGTATAATCACCATCATATCATCAAAAGAATGTTATAAATTATCCCGTGTGGGATTAAAGGATCTGTTATGGGCCTGCAATTGCCTGGTAATCAGCATACTGTTGAGAAATCCAGAAAAAGAGGATCTGAGCGCTCCTTTTTACACATGTACAGCCAATTCTCCTACAGTTAGCTTCTGTAGTAGTGCAACGTTTTTATTAGTTTATTAATCAGGCATTTAAAAAACATACCATTACTATTATTGTTGTTTGTTATAATTATTATGATGTAAAATATTTTATTATCACTACTACTACTTTTTTTTTTTAGGGTTTCTAATAATTGATGTCAGATCGTAAAGAGGGAAATTTGTACTATGAATTTAAGAGACTGTTTAAAAAATGACCACTATTATCTAGGCAGGAACATCCTGGATTTCTTAAATAAAAAAGGAGAAAAATCTGTATATAAAATTGTAATAAATGAACATAAAATATGAAGAATTGTGTGAGTGCTTTATATAGAACTTTCAGCATGCAAAATAGATTTAATAAACAGTATATGTTGGAATATACACAGACAGAAAATAACCATCTGCCAACATGTACAATATTACAGTGCATTTGGAAAGTATTCGTAGCGTTTCACTTTTTCCACATTTCTTTATGTTACAGCCTTGCATTAAATTAATTTATTTTCTCAAACATTCTACACACAATACCCCATAATGACAATGTTAAAAAAGAGTTTTTGAAATTGTTGCAAAATTTATTAAAAATGGAAAGCATGAAAAAACACATGTACAGAAGTATTCACAGCCTTTGCTCAATACTTTGTTGATGCACCTTTGTCAGCAGTTACAGTCTCAAGTCTTTTTGAATAAGATAACACAAGCTTGGCACACCTGTCTTTGGGAATTTTTTCCCATTCCTCTTTGCAGGTCCTCTTAAGCTCTATCAGGTTGGATGGGAAGCGACGGTGTACAGCCATTTTCAGATCTCTCCACAGATGTTCAATAGGATTTATGTCTGGGCACTGGCTGGGCCACTTAAGGACATTCACTGAGATGTTGTGAAGCCACTCCATTGATATTCTGGTGGTGTGCTTTAGGTCATTGTCCTGCTGGAAGTAGAACCGTTGCCCCAGTCTGAGGTCAAGAGCACTCTGAAGCAGGTTTTTATTCAGGATGTCTCTGTACATTGCTGCATTCATCTTTCCATCTATCCTGACTAGTCTTCCAGTTCCTGTATTTATTTCCTCCACATGCAAATACAGTGTATAACATCTCATTGCCATATCGTCAAAATGATCATCACTTTTACTTTTCACATGTGGACGAGTGGATGATTAAAGAAAGAAACCTTCATAAACTGATTTTTAGTGGGACCGCGCCATATTGTAGAGCATTTACAATTTTCCATATGTAGTAAAAGAAATAGTTCACCAATAAATCACAATTTATTTACCAATTACTTTCACTCAAGTTACAGTTGAACACAAAAGAAAGTAGGCTATTTGAAAATTGCTGGAAACAGCTAACCATTGATTTACATAGTAGAAAACACAAATACTGTAGTATATGTGTTTTCTACTATGGAAGTCAATGGTTACAGGTTTCCAACATTTTACAGGTTATCCATCACAATAAATAAATAATTTAATAAACAACTATTTTTTTTAACAGCAGATGGCGCTAGGCTAGTTTTAAACTGTACACATGCTAATGAGGAAAAGTGCTTGTGTGTTTGGCTGAGTCGTGTAAAATGGCTTTTATGCTACGAGATTAATGGAAACGCTGGTCACAATAGAAACTTAACTGTTTAATCGTTTTAGAATCATATGGAATTTGTAAGAAGTTGGATGAAAGCAGAGTATGCCATTTGTAAAGCATACAGCGCCATCTGCTGTTTAAATCTGAACTCATAATCCATTCAGGAGAGAATGACGGTGCATTTTAAACTGATGTAGAACTGATATTCTTCTCCACAGCTTCATGTTTAAAAGCTCTTAATTTGTTTAGGAGTTCTCCTATGTATATTCAAGGTTAAAACAAAACAAACAATAGCATATTTTCATAAAATATATTTAAAATCTATAGAAGTTTTTTCCTAACACAATTAAAATGAAAATGCAAATGCTTAAAAGATCAAATGATAAATCAAATGCTCAAACTATAAATCAAATGTTCAAACCGACATTGCAAATGATAAATCAAATCCTCAAACCGACTCCTCAAATGATAAATGCTCAAACCGACATTGCAAAGGGTGAATCAAATCCTCAAACCGACTGGAAATTGGTTGATTGGTCATTGATGATTTTAATCAAAACTGGTCTCTTCCTCCTGATGATTGGAGACGTTATACAATTACGCTGATGATTGTTTGTTTTATTATCTGTGGACCACGTCCAATGATGACACACTGGAACTCATGTGATGTTTATTAAAGTCAAATACATCTCACACAATTACATCATGGCAGGCCATATCTGGTAAGTTTTTGGTAAAATATGAATATGAGATCTGTGAGATCTATAATTGTTGAATAGGTAAATGTATCCATGATTAACATTAGCTGTATCAGTCGGCATTTTATATCATGTCTTTTGTTTGTTTGTTTGTTTGTTTGTTTGTTTGTTTGTTTGTTTGTTTGTTTGTTTGCTTGTTTGTTTGCTTGTTTGGTAGTAGGCTATATATCCCCACCCCCAGTCTTCGTCTATAATTAGCCCCTAAAGTTTAATTTGTAAGGTTGATTAGCAATTCATGCCAGTAAAATACATTATGACTATCTATCTATCTATCTATCTATCTATCTATCTATCTATCTATCTATCTATCTATCTATCTATATATATATATATATATATATATATATATATATATATATATATATATATATATATATATATATATATATATATATATATACTTGACCACTCGGTGGCGACAAAGTGCTACATACAACATTTTCATTAAATCAGCAACACTGAGCTTGACAACAATCTTATAAGACCAAAAGTTGTTTTTTATAGAGTTGACGGTCCTCCAGAATCGTTTAAGCACAATTTGCATGTACTTTCCACATTTTTTATTAAATTGAAATATTAAATAATTAAAATATTAATAGGGGAAAAAGTCCTGTTTGGACCAGGCTTGATGTGTGTTATTTTAGGACTTTATTTATTTCACCGCTCAGTAACTTTATTAATCTGCAGAATGAACCAGCATACAGTATGTTTTACGCATCAAATGCCCTTCCAGCAGCAACCCATCACTGGGAAACACCCTTCACACTCTCATTCACATACACTACGGACAATTTAGCTTACCCAAATCACCCGGAGGAAACCCACACCAACACGGGAAGAACATGCAAACTCCACACATGAAAAAAAAAACACACACACAGAAATGCCAACTGACCCAGCCGGGGCTTAAACCAGCGACCTTCTTGTTGTCAGGCAATCGTGCTACCTACTGCACCACTGCGTTGGCCCATAGTTTAATATTTATTTACTTATTTGTTTTACTTTTATTAACTTACAAAAGAAAAAAATTAAGGGAAACAAAAAAAATATATAAAATTTAGTAGTTTGTAATTTTTATTTCTAAATATGTTTTGTAACCAAAATATTATTTTATAAAATATATCCATTTGATAAATCTGTTTTGTTTAAATGTACCAAAATATATTACCTACATCTACTGAGAAATTGATTAAAATAATAATTTTCAAAATACTCATAGCGAGGAAAATAAATATTGAAGATGCCATTTTTCTTTTAAAAAAAACATATTTCTAAAGGTAACTTAAAGGGCCATGAAACCCCCTCGTTTCAGCAGGGTGTTTTCACACCTCTACTTTGGAAAAAGTCAGAAAAGTGGGCGTGTCCAGCTCTGTTTAGGGGGGAGTGTCGGAGGAAGAAAAGAGGCTTGGTGTGGGAGTGTCTATTTGGGCACGCTAAATTGCAGAGTCAAAACACACAACCACAGCGGACAATGTGACTGTGTTTACATGGACATCTGTAGTCGAATTATTTGCCAAATTATTAAATGATGGACTTTAACTGCAGTTTGGCTCTTTCATTCAGGGAATTCATTAATGTCCCTCCCGACAAACGTGATATTTGATTCGAGGAACTGCTCTAAGCGTGTATTTTTCATGCAATGTTTGATACCGCACGGCGAATGAGAGAAAAAAAAACTCAGCATTTCCCGGAAACTTAGATGCACACGGCAGGTAGCGTCAGAAAGCTGCGTGTGTTATTCCGGTCACAAAATCCAACACGAGGTTATAGTTTGGTTGTAACTGTTAGTGCTAACTTGTTTACACTCGGTGCAATAGTTTGTTTGATACGAATATAATACGAACTGAATAAACAAAGAGCACTGGTCGCTCACTTACCAAATCTGTAGAGACAGGACAATCACCAGCAACTAGAGCCGCATCTTTATTAAGAGGAGACTACAAGCGAATCCGGATCTCAGTGTTTGCAGATGAGAACAGCTCTCAGGTAAACAATAATCCTCCTTAGACACGTAAGTTATTGTTGTTGCGCGTACACTGTTAATCCACGCGTGAGTCTGCGCTCTCACAGAGAGAAAATGAAAACGAAACTTAACTGCAGCAAACTATAAAATCAACACTTCACGCTTGTTTTGCCAACACAACGTGGCGTCTTTGCCGTCTACACTCTGACAGTAATGAATATTAATGAAGTTGCACAATAGAGCGCGCTGATTGGTTTGAACCAAGCCTTACTCATGCATTAATGCAGCACACTGTAAGACGTAATAAGACTCACTCTGGCACAGACGCCCAGTCTGCACGCTGGAATACACGCTATTATGTCATGGCCGTGACGCAGCTTCAAAAATTCGTTTCAAACCGGAAGTACGAATTTGCTTGAAATAACGCAAAAACAACCAATTTACACTTTTTAGTGAAATATAGGTGTCCTAATAGTGTTTTTAGCAGTGTGGGACACATATACGACTGTCAACAGCTCAAAAAATGTGTTTTGGTGTTTCGTGACCCTTTAACACTTTTCCCCATGATGGTGGTAACAACCAAAGAAATCAGTATATGCAAAGAAAACAAATGTAATTGGTTTACAAATTTAGTATAATAAAATTAAATGACAGGGGAAAGTATTGAACACATGAAGAAAGGGAGGTGTAGAAAGACAGCGAATGCAGAGACAGCAGTAGTTCTTCAGCAACCCTTTAGCCTGGTTTATATTTCTGCGTCAAGTGATCGGCGTAACCACGGCGCATGCAACGCATGTGGCTGTGCATTCATACTTCTGCACGCTGTTTCTGTTGCTCTGCAATAACACTTCCGAAACGCTAGTTGGCAGTGAGGTGTTTATGTTCCTCAGTGTCGAGTTTCTTCACTGAAGTTTTGTTTTTTCTGAGCGCTTCCTGAATGTACAAGTGGCTCAAACTCACATATTTTGAGGCAGGAACCGGCGGGCGTGCAACAACTTTAACAATGAGGTA